AACAGGGACACTTCCCCAGCCTCAGGTACCTCACAGGCTTGTTGAAAGATGAAGAAGGTAGAAGGAGAGCCATGTCAGAAAGATGAGATATGGAGGGAGCAAGCAAGACTATGCCTTCTCCTTGAAAAAAAAGCAGTGGTTAAGTTGTGATACTCCACATGTTGCTATATTGCAGTTTTTTTTACCTGTCACAACTAACTGCCTTGACCAGCCGTGTTCCTTGTACACCAGCCAAATTCTAGTAGATGGCTGTTCTTCATTTTTTAGATGAGGAGCCTGAAGGGAACTGTCTAGGACACGGGTCAGGGAACTTTTTTACCTTTTGTTGTTGTTGTTTAGTCGTTTAGTCATGTCCGACTCTTCGTGACCCCATGGACCAGAGCACGCCAGGCCCTCCTGTCTTCCACTGCCTCCCGGAGCTGGGCCAAATTCATGTTGGTCGCTTCGATGACACTGTCCAACCATCTCGTCCTCTGTCGTCCCCTGCTCCTCTTGCCCTCACACTTTCCTAACATCAGGGTCTTTTCCAGGGAGTCTTCTCTTCTCATGAGATGGTCAAAGTATCGGAGCCTCAGCGTCAGGATCTGTCCTTCCAGTGAGCACTCAGGGTTGTTTTCCTTCAGAAGGGATAAGTTTGTTCTCCTTGCAATCCAGGGGACTCTCAAGAGTCTCCTCCAGCACCACAATTCAAAAGCATCAATTCTTCGTCTGTCAGCCTTCCTTATGGTCCAGCTGTCACTTCCGTACATCATTACCTTTTACCCCCCCCCAAAAAAAAATTGTATATACATCAACATTAACCCCCTTGGTTCTTGCCGTCCGTGGCAGATCCCCCACCCTGCCTCAGCACTCACCCGGGACCTGTGGCCACTGCCTGGGCAGCCAGTCTGGAGCTGCAACACCGCTGAGAAAGCACGTCCTTGGCGAGGGGAGGCGGGCGCCGCAAGGCTGGCAAGTCCATTGGCCATGATCTCAAGTCAGGCGGGGTGGGAAGGGGGCCTCCTCACCAGCTCACTGGGTGGGTGGGCACGGGCAGGAAGGAGAGGTCTGGCCAGGGCTCCGCCGGATAAAGAGACCAGCTGACCTGGTACGCCACCCTCCCCCCCACTTTGGAGGCGAGGAGGGCAGGTGGGTGCCTTGTGTAGTTCCTCGCCAGGGTTCGCTTTCCCCATGACGGAACACCCGCCTACACACACCATAGTCAGAAATAAAATGCCTGAGGGTAAAATGCCTGCCGTGACTATCCTCATTACCCTCAGGATTTTCATTTTTACCCCATTTGGGGTAATTTACCTCTGTTCCCTGACCACTGGTCTAGGAAATAGCCCCAAGTGAGAGAAAGGTACTACACAAAGGTACTCGGTCATACTTCCCCTGCTTGTACTGCTGACATGCCTGAACCACGAACAGCTTGCATGGGTTCTGTCACTGTATCATGAACTTCTTGATGTTCTGGCTTGTAACCTCAACATTTCAAATGTGAATGGGAAGTTAATAACTGTCTACCAGCAAGACAGGGGAGAAGTTCTCCGGCATTCTTACTAGCTCTGTGTTTGTCTTCTTTATTGTTCAATTTTCTTATTGTTGTTCGCATACCACAACTCTGTAGGGCCTGATTAGCAGCCTGGTTTCACAGAGGATGAGGCTTGGTCAGTGAAAACACAGCCTGCCCTCCGTATGGCTCTTGACATTCTTGTGTGAATGACCTTCACACTGATCCTAGGCCTTGTTCAAAGATGGAAACAGAACATCTTTTTGGATCAGTTTCATTTGAGCTCAACAATGTTTGGCCACCGATAAAAGATGAGCAAACAGGAACAATCCGGCACAGTCAGGACTCTCTGGTTTATTATCGTCTATTGTTCACTGGGCTTTTGACCTTGATTTCTTACCCATTCTTTCCCTGTTTTCAAATCTCTTATCCTTTGACCCAAAGGATGGAGCTGCAGAACCTCTGGCCCTTCATAGGCTGTTTAGCTGCAACTCCTACCATGCTGATGAAACATGCCGTCCAGCCAGACGCACCTGGAGAAATACTACAGTGGAGCCTAATGGCATAGTGATTAAACTGCAGTACTGCGGTGAAGACTCTGCTCACAACCTGAGTTTGATCCCCAGCTCAGGGACCTGGCTCAAGACCGACTCTGCTTCCATCCTCCTAAGGTCAATTAATTGAGTTCCCAACTCAGTTGGGTAATGTGTAGCCTATATATTTAAATTATAAACTGCCCACAGAGTGCTTTAAGTGCTTACAGCTATTTTGATGGACATTCTATACAACCCAAAAATATAGGTGCATTTGAATGAAGAGGAAGGATCAGAAATATCCACTTTAGGTTCCTAGGTGGGAAGTGTCATGTCACGTGGATTGTGCCAACTGATAACATTCAATCTGGGTAGTCTCTCTCTTCGGAGAGAATATACATTTAATTCAATGTGTTCCCTGCTTTGAAGATATAATATAAGCTTCATGTCTAAAACCAGTTTGTGACTTTCCTGTTCAAGATGAAAACCAAGCAGGCACTGTTTATCCACTGTTAGGTGTTGTGTTATATCACAAGGCTTACACGTTTCCAGGTTCTGACTTTCTACATCACCTACTTCCCTCTTGAAAAACGTTTGGATATTGGCCCATTTCTAAATGCTCAACCAACATATGTGGTCAAATGGACACAACTTTCACAAGCGGTTGCAGTCAATATATCCCTGTGTTGCCATATTGGCACATTTTGAGGTTTGAGAGGTATTTTGAAAACGTAGTGGCTTGTACAACTGGTGGACACTACATTATGCAATTCACTTAGACCTTAATATTTGTAGAAATTTGTTGTTTAGTCGTTAAGTCGTGTCCGACTCTTCGTGACTCCATGGACCAGAGCACACCAGGCCCTCCTGTCTTCCACTGCCTCCCGGAGTTGGGTCAAATTCATGTTGGTCGCTTTGATTACACTGTCCATCCATCTCATCCTCTGTTTTCCCCTGATCGTCTTGCCTTCACACTTTCCCAATATCAGGGTCTTTCCCAGAGAGTCTTCTCTTCTCATGAGACAACCAAAGTATTGGAGCCTCAGCTTCAAAGGGAATGCTCAGCTTCAATGTTGTTAGCTATTTGTAGAAATAGTTAACAACAAACTCATTCCTTGACTCTGGACCTTTGAGCAGTCACCATAATAGTATCCATTAGGTAAAAGGTAAAGGTAAAGGTTCCCCTTGACAATTTTTGTCCAGTCGTGTTCGACTCTAGGGGGCGGTGCTCATCCCCGTTTCCAATCCATAGAGCCAGTGTTTTGTCCGAAGACAATCTTCCGTGGTCACATGGCCAGTGCGACTTAGACACGGAACGCTGTTACCTTCCCACCGAGGTGGTCCCTATTTATCTACTTGCATTTGCGTGCTTTCGAACCGCTAGGTTGAAGGGAGCTGGGACAAGCGACGGGTGCTCACTCTGTCACGTGGATTCGATCATACGACTGCTGGTCTTCTGACCCTGCAGCACAGGCTTCTGGCATAATAGTAGCTATTAACAAGGAGGTATTAGCCAGCTTGAGAGTTGGCAGAAGTACAGAGTCACAGACTTTAAGGTGCAAAAACCTGAGGGAAGCGGAAGAATGCAAAAGCAATTCTAAGCATGTTGAATACCCATGCAATGTTGATTGACATTTACTTGTGGGTAGAAATTGTTATAGCTGATTTGACTAGGATAATGAATGGGCTGTGTGCCCCACTGCAACTTTTTGTTGCATGCCCCGCTCACCCTCCTCGTGACAAGGATTCCATCACACATGGATGCAGAAACAATTTATTGCATGGAGCAGCAGGAGAAGATCATTCTGATACAATTTAAACTTGGCAGCCTGAGGAAAAAACTACACATTTTTCATATCAATACTTTTCACCCATTCTAAAAAAGAACAATATGTTGTATTGGATTTCCAGCTAAGAGAGTGACACCCACCTGTACAGACAGATGGATTGGGTGGCATAGATGCAAAAACCTGGGACTAACTTAGTTGTTCAACTTTTCAATTTGGCACAGCTCAACAGAATAAGACTAGATGCCATGGCAGAAATCCTATTCCAAAATGCCACATACATGAGGAAGATCGCACAAGCAATTTTCATGATGACCTTTTTTTTGTACAACTGGGTATGCAACTGATGAGCACCAGTGCAGGGTGTGTCATAACACGAGAGACATCAGACACTCCATTATTTTATGATTGTACACGCTGGTGGTGTGATTTCTGGTTTGTGCTGTGCAATCCCAATGGGATTCGTGCCCTGAAGAAATTTGGCCATTTGCTGGTGGCTGTAAATGTTGTCTACTGCCTGGTGGATCACATACCACCATTCTATCACATTCTATTTATTGATTTATTTATTTAATTTATATTTGCCCTGAAGAAATTTGGCCGTTTGCTGGTGGCTTTAAATGTCGTCTACTGCCTGGTGGATCACATACCACCTTTCTATCACATTCTACCACAAGGACAGGAAAGAGCCACCTGATATTGAAAGGGATGCCCCCCCCCATGTATTTCCTATTGGAGACCAATTGTCAAATTGCGGATAGTTATACAATTTTCTGTGCCACAGCTCCCTGTAATGAATCTGGAGAGTTGCTGGGTGGCCTACAGGCTGCAGATTCTGTATTCGAGATATGTTCCAAGGGCTTTTTTCAGGATGATCCTGGAAAAGCTTGGAGATATGAAATCACTGGAGAAATTTGGGGAAAGTGGGTGGGAGGGAGAGAAAAACTGGGTTTTAGGATGGATAGGAAGCTTGACAGTCAATTCATGGTAGCGTACATATCATCAAAGTGCAAACCTAAGAATGGCATTGGATAAAAAGAGAGAAAGAAGTGATAGCAGTTTATTTGGCAATAGTGAACTGCAGCTGAAATGGCTGATTCCTATTGGATTCTAAAATGGCTAGAAATGTGTGTCACCCCCCAGTGATGACACTAAAAAACGCTTCCATAAATGCTCCCATCTGTGCTTCTAAAGAGTTGTTTTGAAGTGTACTGGCTCGCCATTAAGACAGGCCACCCGCACGTACTGAGAGCTGACTCGGCCTCGGTAGCTACAGGGCGGGTTTTGGGAACTTCCTCCCACAATACGGCAAGCAGTGAGGGCAACGGGTCTGTTGCTGTCGTAGTAATTCTCGCTGTAGTAGGTTCCCCCGTCACTGCAGATGGCGTCCACATCGGAATGAGATGCATGGATAAAGGTGTTGGACGGCTTGCAGAACGTGGTGGTCATGCCTCTTTTTTGCATCATCAGGTTGCAGTAGCGCCTTGCATCAAGCTCGCTGTTGGTCTTTGGGAAGTCAACGTGCTGGCGGAGAAACTTGTCGTGACGGGATTCCCTCTGGGTGAATGCTGGGAATGGCCCCAGCAGGACAATCACGAGTAGCAACACTGAGCAGCCTGGGATTTGAGCCATGGTATCAGCCCCTCCTAGAGGAGGAGGAGAGATTCTTTAAAAGCAATTTACAGACAAAAATTCTACCTGTACAAGCAAGCAGTAGATCTGTATTAAATAATGACCTACATCCAAAGGCTAATTGTGGTGAATTATTTGAATCAGCTGCTGAATGGTGGGTCAGCCGTTAGGTAAATTCCATTATTTCATTTGGCAAGATCCTGTTGCTTAGGATAGTAATCCTATTAGTGTTGGGCCATTGAATCAGTGGGGATTTGGTGAGTCAGCTCCACCAAATTCCATTGGTTCAAATGGCCGTACTCATAACTGCCTCTTACTTTAGCATAGTATGTTCTTCAAATCAGTGAAACCTACATATGAGTTGACGCACCCAATTGCCATTGATTCAATAGGTCAACTCCAGTGTGGTGTGCTAAAGTATGCAGCAGGATTTTGGCCAGTGGATCTGCCCTATTAAGGATGAGCAAGGACTCAATGTCTGACTGCATCGCTCTCGCTCTCTCTGTCTTTGTGAATGGCCCTTTGGTACGATTGTCTCCTCCAGGCTGAACTGTCATGATGTCGTGTATCATACCACAAACATTCTAACTGCTGAGAGAAACAGCTAATGGTGGAAGGTTATCAAGAGTGCAGTTTCTGGGAAGTTTCAGTTCTCAAAAAAGTCACAAAGCCATCCGGGAAAAGAGGTAACCGTGGGCTCCGTAGAGGAAAAAGAGTGATGACAGAGGTAAGGCATTTACTAGGAGACTACATGCAAAAACAATAACAGAGAAGGATAATGAGAAGGAAAGTTTATTATCCATTCTTTTTTCGAAGCACTGGTATAACGAGGGATCATAATCTAGAGAGGCTATTTATGGGATCACGAGCTCTTTTATTGATCACAAGGTTGAGATAAATGGGTAATTTTCTTACCTCCATTCACTGTGGGCAGGGAGTGACTGAACAGCACTACAAGCTTAAAGTGAAGGCTTTGGGGAGTTCAGAATGCAGCAGGGTGAGAAACTGAGAGCATTACAATTAGAGATGGGCATGAATTCATACTTTGTGCTGGTTCGTAGTTCATGTTTGACATTTCCCAGCCCCGCTATTGGGTGCCCATTCAGAGACAGCGCTCTGGATTCCCTTTTCCTCCTCCTCTAGGCGCTATCTCTGAGTGGGTGCCCACTGGAAGAGGCAGAACTGGGGAGTCCTGAACACCTGTTCGTATGAAATGCAAACTGACTGTTTGTAAAGGTAAAGGTTCCCCTTGACATTCAGAGGCAGCGCTCTGGATTCCCTTTTCCTCCTCCTCTAGGCGCTATCTCTGAGTGGGTGCCCACTGGAAGACGCAGAACTGGGAAGTCCCGAACACCTGTTTGTATGAAAAGCGAACTGACGATTTGTGCCCATCTCTAGTTACGAGCAAGATGGAGGGAGGCTTATGGAAACATTGATTCACATCTATGTGTTTGATTTTTTAAAGAGAAGATCAAACCAGATTGATAACCCTCATTCTCTTAAAATTCCCTGGTAAGACCAAACGCTGTTTACCTTCCCATCAAGATGGTACCTATTTATCTACTCGTATTTACATGCTTTCGAACTGCTAGGTTGGTGAGGGTTTGTGCCCATCTCTAATTACAAGCAAGATGGAGGGAGGCTTATGGAAACATTGATTCACATCTATGTGTTTGATTTTTTAAAGAGAAGATCAAACCAGATTGATAACCCTCTTTCTCTTAAAATTCCCTGGTAAGACCTTCACATGGTAGCTGTCATATCTCTAAAGCAGATTTGAAGAAATCAGAATCAGAAGAGGGCAGGATCCTTCCTCACCTAAAAAAAACACAAAATAAAATGTCCTCACCCAAATCTAATGTGGTTGTCCACCACAATTTTGTCTTACTCCTTTCTTGTCTGTGCTAGGTGATAGTTTTAGCTGTGTGAGAGAGCATGTATGTCATTCTAGAGAGTTTATTTCATCTTTTAATGGGCATAAAATATATTTTAGATCATTTTAATGGGTAATGTATATCGTATGGCATGCTGGGCCATCTTTTTTAAAATATGTTCACTGTGTAACATTTTGTTTATAACAGTACAATAAAGATTAATATTGAGACTGTGATCATACTGGAGGAATAATCCAGTAGCCATCCATATCTTATTGTATACCTTTTGTTTTCCTTTTGAAGTAGCTTGCAGTGGGAATTCTCTAGAGAATGATTCTTCTGAAAGCCCCAAAAAATCATTTAAAATACATTACACAAAGAAGAAGTCAGTCAATACAATTTAAAATATCTTAATTTGTGAACAAGGTAAAGGAGTGACAGAGTGGTCAAGCTGGATGGACTTACATGAGGAAACCATTCAATTATTGGGAAAACACAGAGCAGAGAAAAGTTACTCTATACATCCCAGAATCATTCAGCCAATGGTCGTGTTGCCTGGGTGATTCTGGGAGCTTCAGTCCAAAAAATACTTTTTTTAAGCCTTGCAGCACTACCACTGAACAAACCATTTCATCAGTTAGGTAAAGGTTCCCCTTGACATTTTGTCCAGTCGTGTCCGACTCTAGGGGGCGGTGCTCATCCCCGTTTCCAAGCCATAGAGACAGCATTTGTCCAAAGACACTTTCCGTGGTCACGTGGCCAGCGCAGCTAAACACGGAACATTGTTACCTTCCCACTGAGGTGGTACCTATTTATCTACTCACATTTACACGCTTTCGAATTGCTAGGTTGGCAGGAGCTGGGACAAGCAACGGGAGCTCACTCCGTCGGGTGGATTCGATCTTAGGACTGTTGGTCTTCTGACCTTGCAGCACAGAGGCTTCTGTGGTTTAACCCACAGCGCCACCACATAATTTCATCAGTTACCACTCCCTTAACTTGTTGCTTCTAGATGTGAAGTGCCAGAAAAAGAATCTCTCAAACAGATTGTACTTTAATAGAAGAAATGTGTGAGAAAGTTAGGGATCTCCGGGAATAAAGGCTGGGAAGAAGGAGAGGAAGGGGGAAGCAAAGGAAGAAGAGGACAAGAAGAAGAGAGTTGGAGAAATGATCACACAGGGCGGAACTGTGCTCTTACTTGTCAGTGGGTAGAAAATGCAGGGAAACAGATTTCAGCTAAACATTAGGAAAACGTTTTTATGGTAAATAAATACTGTTCAGTGTTGGAACAGACTGCCTTGGGTGGTTGGTGGACCTTCCATCTATGGTGGAAAGCTAAGGAGATGATGATCTAGGATATTGTTGCATCTGGTATTGTAAACTGCATTAAGTAACGGGGGTGTATAAAATGGCCTCTGTGCTTCGTTCCAACCCTCTAATTCAGTTCTTCTGCTTTTCCTTCCCACCAGCATGCCACCAACAACACCAACTGCCCATCCATTCACTCCTAGCAACTCACCTGCCGCTCCAGGTCCCAATCCCCGTACTTCCCGCCTGCCTTGCTGAGCAGAAGACAAAAAAATAAAAGCGTACTTCTCTCGCTGAAACTGCTTTTCTTGTTCTGGAGAGCTTTGTTTTGCCAAGACTGTAACATGGGAGGAGGTCAAGTTCTGAGAAAAAATCCTTAGTAGCCAAAATATTTTGCAATCCGGACCTCCTGGGAGAAACGAGAGACTCTGCTCGTGAAGGGGCGGAAAACATAACAAAAATTCAACCACACAGAGAGAAATGAAATTGGTTGGAGAGAAATCCAGCTTCTTTTTCCCAGGAGATTCTAACTCTATTTTATTTTATTTTATTTCTAAAGAGAGATTCCTCCCTTTGCAGCACCGGGAATGATATAACACTCGGATTTAAAAAAAGGTGCATTCTTGACAATGATCAGCACCCTTGTGTTTATAAACCACAGAATGGATATGTGTGTGTATTGTATGCGTGTGTTATAAATATATATATGAAGCACATCTGGGATGGATTAAACTATGCGGAAGAGGAAGGCGGAGAACATTCACTGGCTACTTTCCTGTTACACAGGCTTTTCTGCCAGTTAACAGAGAGGAACTGGCAGGATGGAGGCATTAAGAAGATCAACATTATGGCAACTTTATATTAAGAGGATAACTATTTAACCAGACCAATGTTCCTTACAAAGAAGAAATTCTTGAAGTGGTACTACGTACTGTGTGTCCTCTCTATTCAGCGATGGGGACCTGATTTGCAGGAATTGGTGTTGAGTCGAATTTCAGTGACTCGACTCAAATTCCAGTTGTTTGTTCTTTTTTCAGTGGCTCAGACTCAACTGATGACTCAGAACCCATCCACCCTCCGTTTTTCTGGGGTGTGTGTTGAAGCTTGTTTGGGACTTGGACTTTAGACTCAGACCCCAAGATCTGCCAGCATTCCTCTCTCTATTCTTCCTCCCTGAAATCTGAATCTCACAACTTTGGCTGGACTTTGGTTTCCTTGATGGCACTGTTACTGGAATCTATGCAAAGTCCAGGACTGGTGACCTCATGTCTCTCCAGATGTTGCTGGATGACACTTCTCACCATCACTCCACTGGCTAGGCTTAATAGACGTTGGAGTCTAACAACATCTGGAGGGATGCTGTTTCTCACCCCTGCTTTGGGCTGAGGACTGCCATAGCCATTGACCCGTTTAGTGGACTATCTGGATGTGTGGTTCTTTCCGTGTACCTCTTGACCTCCAGAAGAAGAAGCGGGAGAGCCGTGTTGGCTATACTAAGCTACCTTATACAAACCCAAATCTAAACTTCATCTAGCTATGCAGAAGGCAGACCACTTCCAAAACAGTGGCTGCTACCCTGTTTCCCCAAAAATAAGATCTAATCTGAAAATAAGCCCAGGTAGGATTTTTCAGGATGCTCGTGATATAAGCCTGCCCCAAAAATAAGCCCTAGTTAAGTGAAAGCCCACCCTTCACCATTGTGCAGCAACCAGAAGATGACACAACTGTATTTGAATAAACATAGATTGTTGTACATGAAAAAAAACATCCCCCCAAAATAAGCCCTAATGCATTTTTGGAGCAAAAATTAATATAAGA